ATAAATTCCTTAATATCCTCGGTCGTCAAACTGGCCAGGGGAAAAACGCATTCTCCACATTTTGCAACATTTCTTCCAGCCCTTTGATTTCAGGGAATGCCCGGATAAGCACATTGCTCATATTTGCGTTTTGAATCCATTCAAGTCCCTCTTTGGTGTAGATGTCTGAAGTGAAATCATCGGTCATAAACCTAAAGAAAAACATTAAAGAATGAACCACTACGGTGGACAATAAATGGGTACTAATAGCTCCTTTTAGGGACTTTTCCCTTTCAATGGAGGAGGGAGGCTTCCTGTAAATGATCAAATATAACCCGGGCTAAAACTGGTCGGTAATTTAGAAGCTTTGTCGAGCGAGGATTTGAACCCGCGACTACACAAAACAAACTTGGGGCCTCTTTTAAAACAGTGCTCTGCCCCAATCATTGTACTTTGGTCTACACCCTATACAGACTCTTTTCTTGCACTGCTGGCTCTGATTTTCACGATTGTTAAAGCTTGTAGATTTTCATTTCTTAGTTCAATTTGCGATCTTCCAGGAATGAAAATTTGATTTTTATATTTCGCATGGTGTTTGGAATTCTTTTAAAATCGAGTCATGTAGAAACCTAATCAATCAACCAATCAATCAATCAATCAATCAGTACTTCAGTAAGTCAGGTAGTCAATCAATCAATCAGTCAGTAAGTCGGTCGGTCAGTCAGTCAGTCCATCCGTCAATCAATCAATCAATCAATCAATCAATCAAACATCAATCAACCAATCAATCAATCGAAAATCAATCGAAAATCAATCAACCAACCAATCAGTCAATCAGTAAATCAATCAACCAATCAATCAACCAATCGATCAATCAATCAATCAATCAATCAATCAATTAATCAATCCGCAAGTCAATCAATCAACTCACCTGTCAGTTTGTAGTCTTCTGCTGGCCATAAGAACGAATATATTAAACGCTGTTTCACCAAATCCACAACCGTCAGGCCGGGGCTCCTCTGCTAGGCAACCAATCAGGAGGTCTAATTTCTCAATGTCGTCGTCATACAGTTCCTTAAGCAGGCTGGAATGTTTCATGTTTGGCGTAAGCTTTTCAAAGGACTCCACAGGAGGAAGGTTTGTCAATCGTCTGAACTCATTATATCGTGGAATGCCACGTTCTCTATCGCGCAAAATGTCGATGGTTGCTAGATCAATAGTCTGAAACGAAAGAGAATATCTTTTTCCTAAGAAATTGTTTTTTCTTCATTACGTTGATCTTTTCCTCCACGGATACCTACAACCTCGGATAAAACTGTTGAGACAATTCCATGTATTATTTCAATTTCGCGCCATGTTGCAATCTCCTCTAAACTGAACAAAGTCGTCCCCTCCCGGCCCCCTGTTCAAAGTTGTCTTGGTCTAACAACTCACGCGTGAATTTCTGGTGATATATTGGAATAGTGAAGGGGAAATGGTGCATCAATTTGCGACGGTAGGCATTTTTGTCAGGACGAGTTTGTAATGTGTCTCAACAGGTTTTGTCCGAGGTTAAAGCACTACAAGCCATTAAATTTCTCTGCCTTTCACTAAGGAGAGCCTCTGTGTAGGATGAAAGTGCTGCTGACGATCGACACACCACAGTTCTAGGGTTCTCCGATTTATTTCATTTATCACTCTCTTCGGTCTGATGGAATTTTCCTGGATAATTTACGATACTGTGTTGGGGTTCTTTGCCAGATTGCTTGTGGCGCAGCCAATAGAAGGTTAGATTAGGAATGCCCCAATGTGAACGTGAGATGAGAAATGTGACACAAGGAGAGTTCACAGCGATAGCTTTAAATATCTCCGTCACGCCTCACAGAGTCAGATTAGATAAAAGCATTGCTAGAGGGAAATGGCTACGAAATCTAACTATTTTCAAATGTTTGGGCCAAGGGTTAACTGCTTTCTTCTCCCAACCACCGGCTTGGAATCGAGCCCGGACCCGAAGCTCCACAGAAAAGTATCCAGTCAATTAAGCTAGATGAGTGATTATAGAAGTAGTCCCTCCCCATACCATACTGGTTTTCTCACCTCTCCGTTCTGTTGATGCCTTGGTAACTTGAGGTTCATCAAGGCCTTTGGGTAGTTATGAAGAGTAAGCGCACCTGGATGCTCAACGCCGAATGTGTATACAACGTTATCTACACTGTGTTTCTTCAAGATATCCCTAGCTCCTTTGAAAGAGTACTCGGGGAGAGAATATGACTTTCCAGTTCTTTGTCCAGTTTCAACCGAGCGCATGTACAGATCGTCTGGTAACAACGGATGCATGCGGTACACCGATACAAATTCTTCAGTCAGAGAGAAAGGGACGCCGTAAAACTTGCTTGGAGAGCCAACAAGTGGCTTCAATACCGCACCGCTCGCGTCAATACTTATATTGTGTGCAGCAAGCCAATCAAAAACCTCTTTCCCTGGGCTTAAGCCAAAGTTTACATTTACCCCTGCGCGCAGAACACTGTTGTTTAGAATGGCTGGTGTCCATTCCACTGTGTGAATTTTCTGAATCGTGGCTGTGTTGATCAACCTGTATAGCAAAAAACGAAAGAGCGTAATCAAATTACTTAATCTATAAAATGACTGTAAATCAATGAATTAGCGAGCTGTAGGGTACGCAAGGCGTGGAAAAGAGCTCTCAGGGAGTTTTACAACGGTCTGACATCGATAATGAGAATATTGTTGCGGATGGGCTCCCTGTTTCGATTTTTTTCCCGCCTTTAGAGGTCTTGTGGCCTAGTCTTTTGTTCTTCCTTATTATGTTTTTTGACGAGAGTTTGCAGCTTCGGCATTCACTCGAAGTAACGACCTAAATTGATCGATTTCGACGCATTGACGACTGTATTGTTTTTAACACTGTTAGTGTAGTGGCACGAATTAGATGTTGTAGCCTTCTCTAGCAGTATTGGAAATAAAGGTCTGTATACAGCTATTTCGAGAAAGGTTGTCGGAAAAAGTGCACGCGACAATCCCGAAAGATATTGTGGGTGGTTTTTAGTTCACTGTTTTTCAAAGAAATTTCAAACAATAGCAAGAGAGGCCATGGACGTATGTTTGCGAGTGCTAAAGGAAAGCAATAAAAGTAGGTTCGACAGCTACAGTGTCAGGAACGGTGTATTAATCATATCCCATATTACCTTTTGGGATGGTCGCGTGCACAGTTTTTCCGACAACCTTTTTAGAAATAGCTGTACAAGAGTGAATTAGCCGTTACACTGAAACAATGGAGTGGTTTACATGTCACTTCAGTTTTTTGAACTTTTTTTCAAAAAAATTAATCAATTTTCAGTATTTACTCAGGCGCTGCCAAATCTTTAGTACTTTTTGTTAAGTTGAACTTTGGCAGCTCATCAAGCCTAGTGCCAAAAGACTACCAAACTTATTCATGCCTAATATGGTTAATTCACTCGCGGTTCTTTTCATTTAACATTCAGTTACCTGGTTATGTCATACAATTGCTGGTCTGACCAATCAGGGTGGAACTTCAGCAGCATATCACAAATAGCGTTGTGTTCTCTTGTGAATATGTTGTGCATGAGACTCAGACCGATCCACCAGTTGTTGCTAAAACCTTTAGAAGAAGTCAAAGATTCATTTCTTCACAAGGAACAGTCTTTCTATTATTAACCTGTTACTATGAAATTAGGGAACGAAATGCCCAGTGACAGGATACCCAAAGTTGCCTTGCTGGATGGACTCCAACTCACCTGGGAGAGGGAGGAAAAAAGGCCGGCTAAAAACCTGTGACTTGGCGGAAAACGGTGATGAAAGAGGGGGAGGAGATGGGTCTAACGTGGAGTGAAGTGAAAGCCAAAGCTTAGGACAGCGTTGAGTGGCGAGGTTTGATTGCGCCTTTATTTTCCAGCCAGGATGAAGACATGGAGTGATTAGGGAACCAAATGCCTTGTCTAAAACAACTATTGACTAAGTAACCTTCCGACAGACAGAAAACCTCCCAGAAATGATGTGATAGTTAATATCATTATACTCCTCATAAATTTCTACCTAGAAAAACAAAACCCTTTGATGTATCTCTTTGATAGTTATTTATCTCATAAATATCAACTTCTCGCCTTTTGAGCAGCTAACAAGAAGTGGTATATTTTTAAAAAATTAATTTAAGGATTGTGCAATACAAGGCATTCTCCCTACCAAAGTTATATCCAGTAAACTTGGAAAAGGAATCTTTTGAAAGGAGCTACATACAGGGTGTCTCAAAAGTTCGTTCCGATTGTAAATTGTATTTTGCGCAAAGCATTTAATGCTTCTTTAGGCAAATGTAAACTGATTCAGGTAACAAATTTATCTAAATAAACGTTAAAAGCAATTTCAAACTAAAATTTGAAGAAATTATATATATATTTTAATTTTTGCGCCAACTGTACACGTACGCGAGGTTTTTCCCGCCATACTTTTCCTGCCCATTTTGTAGGTTTTCTATTTTGGTATTTTTATCGTTTTCTTCCATTTTCTCTACTCCTTCATGAAAATGAAGGCCTACACTGTTTGTACTAGAGTTCAGGCATCTATTTTTATGGTCTTCTGGCCATTCAGTCCAAAAAAATTGTCAAATTGTTGAAGAAGTCTGAACGATGACCGAACAAGTGGTCAAAAGTAAAGACCTTAGAGGACAAACCAAGGAGTGCGAGGCCGTTTTTTCACAAACTGTGTGAGAAATATTATCGAAAAAGCTGTAAGTATACGCTTAATAATTCCACAAAACAGAGAGGTAAAAAAATTCCAACTTCACATTATCGATCAATGTTTCGAGCACAGCGGTAAGGGGATATGTTACCAAAAAAAGTTGAAAAGAGGAAAAGGCGGTGCACACTTCATGCAAGCATAGTGTCAGAAGGATTGCCAACTTTATACCAAAGGAGGACCAGCCGGCAAACTCATGTGATGTGAGCCCCCAAGAGACCATCTGGATTATTGTAGACGAGACAACATACAAAGATCCAGCCCCCAAAACACTGGACGAGCTAAGACAGTGACTACGCTTCGCCTAGAAGAATGTGACTTTGGACACGTCTTGGGAGCTCGTACATTCTATACCTCACTGCTTAGAAAATGTCAGAAAACATACAGGAAGACATACTGGTCACTAATATTTTAGTAATTCAATGTTAAATAAATAATGAATAACATACTAAGTTTTACAAAAGCTTTTTTTTAAATAATTAGTGCGAATAAAAAATCGGAACGAACTTTTGAAACACCCTGTAGGATGGGTATTCCATGAGTTGGGTTGTTGTTGTCTGAAATTAACAGAAGACTTTCAGGTGACCGTATTTCAAACTCACCAGTAATGTCTATTCCAGTTTTGCGGTTTACTGGAAGCCAACCATCTTTTCCCACCTTCATTTTTCCTTTCCTAAAGCTACGCAGTTTCTTATTTGTACGGATATCGCTACCATACAATTGAGAACCGTCCCACCAGTGTGTAACATCATTCTGATACGTAGTTGGGGAGTCTGTATCCTAGAAACGACCAAATAGAAAATAGTATATAGTACCCTGCGAGCAGAGGCTACATTTTCGCGGTATGAGATGGCATGCGAAAAGTAGCACGCCAGCACGCACGCCCGATCATACCGCGAAAATGTAGCCTGTGCTCGCAGGGTAAGTATATAGTCATTCCTGTTAGCAATCAATTAATTGCCTTCGTCGGAGGTCAGTGGCTTATTTGTATATATGGATATATGTTTAAGTCCTCTATTTATCCTGGGCAGCAATTATAACATTAATTTAATGCTAGTGGGGAAGAGGTTAAGAATGAACTCGGGACTACCGAGAAGAAATCCATCTTGTTAAGGCAGGACTTGAACTCGGGTCCTCCGATTTACATGTCCAGCGCTCTAACTGCTTGACCGCGATACCTCTCGATCAGTTACCATTTAAAAATAACCATAGGCGTAAATGATAAACTGATTGCTCTTTTACCGAGCACATTTGACACCTGTCTGGCTTTGTTCTTGGAATTTTCATCTCGCCTTTATGTTTGTTATAAACAGGGTCATCTTCATCAAGCTCTATCCTTATACGTCTGGAAACATCTACTGGCCCATGGTCAAACCAGTCATGCACGTTAAACTGGATCCAACCGGCTGCTAACAGGTTTAACTGCTTGGCGGGAATAAATTTGTCTCTGGCCATCAATCTGTAAGGTAAAAGAGTATAACATCTGTGTGAAGAACACTCGGCAGTACTTTTTAGGCTACGTTAATAATATCATTACCTGATAGCTTTTGCTCCAGCACGAAAACTATACTGGATAGGGCTTCTGGTCACACATAACAACAGTAATTTGGGCGC